TAATTCCTTCTTTTTCAGGATGTTCCAAACTATTGTATTGGCCACTCCCAATGTTCTTGCTATCTCTCTGATGGGTTTGTTTTCTCAGCCTAATATGGCTTCTTTCACTCGCATGGACCCCTCTTTGGACCTCATGTTGAGACTTCCACTGAACAGCCACCAAATACAAATGTAACACTCTGAACCACCTCCAGGCCTTTTATCTGCTTGATTGGTCACAGGGTACCCAGGAAACAGGCCACACCTGGCTATGCAACTCCATGTCAGCCATTCATTCCATTACTTATGAGCCACCAACGATGTGTGTGTGTGTATACCACTGGCTGTACTTCCTGAATAGTTAGTGCTCCACTTTTGTCAAACCCCTTGAATTACAGCTGAAAATCCTGACTTCGCTCCCATCTGGGTGTGTTTCCTTTCACCTTCAATGTGGTGGTGTACAGAGGCCAAATGCCAAAACAGTTATCCTTGCTCCAATATTCCTGGTCCTGACTGTACATTCTAAATGTTTCATGTTGCAGAGATACTGTAAAATTAAGGAGAATTATGTCTCTAGAATTTTGCCAGGGGGTAGCTAAATGTTGATGGTCACTGTTGGAAAAACTTTTGTACCCTGAGATTTGCTGAGGGTATAGCTCATCACCAGGTTAAATAGAATTTTAGTTGCAGCCTGTGAAAAGCTCCTCATTGCAGTGTAATTATGACTAGAATAAAACCCTTAGTATTTCCACAATAAAAATAGAGACACCTTTACATAGTTATTTTACATATAATTTACATATTTATTTTACATATAATATCACTTGAACTTTCATACAATTCATTTTTAAATAATTATCAGCAGAGAGAATGGTAAGCAAAAACATGTAAGAAATGTAAGTATTGCATACAATTTAGGAAATACAGATTTATACAAATTGATCATTAACTTCTAACATGTTCAAACCTCACAGGGTTTTCACTGATATACAGTTAATATATTAAGTTATCCCAAAACTGCTATGATGTCTCCTCATATTTATGGTGGATAGTTGGTTTTGGCTTATGCACTTCAATATTTGAGACTGATCTTTATGAATATTCAATATTAATAAATACCAGAATTGTATAAATCTCCAAGCAAGTCCAGAGGTGTCCAGTGAAGGACGCAGCAAGAAATGATAAGATCTCAGAACAGACATTTCTGGATATTATAGTAGTGTTTAGCAGTCCTTTAGACCAGTTTTTTTCAAACTGCAATCAACAGAACCCTTGGGTTCGGTGAGAAGTTGATGTGATTCCATGCGAGACTAAGGGCAAAGAAAAAAAGGGGAAAAAAGGTTACTCCATGTTGATGTGGTGATTCCCTGGATGTTCCTCTGATTTGTTGGTATATTTGTCCATCAAACTAGTAGGCAGTGAGGCAGAAGTTGATGAGGTCTATGATTCTAGGTATTTTGATTAAAGTGTATTTGGCGAGGTTGGGTGTGTTGTGCAGTACTTCTGCCATGGATTCTTTCACTAGTTCCCAACCTATCTATGTCCATAGACTCAGCATCTAGAAACATTCAAAAGAGACAATAAAAAAGCTAAGAAGGAAACAAAAAGAACACATCCTCTCCAAGTAGCCTACACCCAGATAAACAGGGATTAACACCAGACAATCAAGCAGAAAACAATACCCTACTCTAGGAACTACCAAGGAGAAAACCACACCCCCCACCAACACTGGCAGGGCAAGCTACTGTATATAAACAGGGAGCAAGCCCCACACTCACTAGCACTGACCATGTTACCTAGTCGGGTGATGAAACGTTTGCAAACAACCAAGCTCAGAGAGCACCAAGGACTCCACAGACTTAGAATTGTTTGGCTCCTGACTGAAATATAAATGCGGCCCGGTACAGAATATTAGTTTTTATAACCTTTCCCTCTTTTTTGTGCCAATTATCAATATATTTATGTAAGACATCTTGCTGATTGCCTCTGATTCTCTTGTTGCCCTCATTTCCTCTTTATTGTCCCAGAGTGCTCAGATAATTTGAGGGTTTACCTACTAAAGGTAGGCTGTCCCAGATGTCAGAATACGAATATATTGGTGCAGATGGCTTCCTGCCTAACAAAAGGCCAGCAAATTGTTTTCCTTAGGTTTCCTTTTTTATGCATTGAAATTATGCCAGAATGAGGGGTGTCAAGTGTGGAGCTCTGAGCAACTGTCCAATTTGCCTACACCTAAAACCATCACCCAAACCACATTCTGTTGTTTTATGGCCACGAACAGTCTGAAAAGAGGCCTGCCGGTACCCAATCCTGTGCAAGCCTCTAATCTTGGGGGTTTGCTCCTAAGAAAGAATGCACGCGATTGGCAGCTTAAACGTCTGTTAAATCCTTTTTTGTCCAAAATATGCAGAACAGTTACTAAATCTGAGCTAGAACATAACCAAACACACGCAACCTCATTTTCGTCCGGGCAACCTCAGAAGTTTTCCGAGAATCCGGGACCCCCCGCTTCAGAGCTCGAGTCTCGGGGAATTACACCTCATCCCGTCTCGTCTGCACAAGATTAAAAGAAAGGGGCCTCCAGTTGCTGTGGAAACATTTTTGACCCGGAAATGGAACGAATAAAACCTTCCGGTTGCCTAGCTGCTCTCACGTGTGAGGCGCTTAGTTGCTGCAAGCGGCGCGAGGGCAGCTGCAGGGATGAGATTCGCTTACCGGGTGAGAAAACCGTGGTGCTTTTGCCGACTTGGAGGATTTGGGGATTTGCAATTTTTGCTCCCTTGTTTTTTTTTTCCTCCCCTGTTCCCGGTTGGTCTTCCAGCCTGCTCTTTTTATCCCGTTGCTGCTTCCCTGCAGGTTTCACAACTGGAGCGGGTTGGATATCTATCTTTGAAAAATGTAACCTGGGATGAGTCTCACTAGTCGTTCCTTCCCGCTTCTTCTCACTGTGCTTATTATCCACGAGTAGGCAATGTATTTTGCACTTCACCGTTTCTTTTTGTCCATGTTAAAGCTCAGTATCAGGGTTTACATTTGACAAGAGTACAGCTGGATTGCTTCCAAATCTCTCTCTTCAGAAACCCAAAATACCTGAGAGGTTCTCTACAACTTCTTGTTACATTATGCTTTCTAAATCCAGTTACTAATTACGTTTGATATTACAGTAGTGTTGTATCTTAAGATCAAGTGAAATATTTAGGGCATATAGAAATGGCACGATTAAGATCTTACTGTTAGAGCATCTCCATATAGAATTTATTTGTGCATTATATGTTCTTCTCTACATTTTGGGAATGAGTTGGTTACAAATCATATACACTTTTTAATTCCCATTTTCGGTATCTTTCAAATTTGCATTGTCTGAAAATGCCTTTAAGAGTTATAATACTGTACTGCATTTTTGTGCTTTATTTCATTTTCTGCTTAAGTTGCATTAATGCAACTTCAATTTTATTTTTTCTAGTTTTCCAACTTGTTGGGTACAGTCTACCGCTGTGGTAACTTGAAGTTCACTCCAGATGGAAACTCTCTGATTAGCCCAGTGGGAAACAGAATTACAGTCTTTGACTTGAAAAAGTATTCATTTGTTTATTTGATTTATTGTCTGTTGTCTGTTTTGTGGAAGAAATATTGTCCTATTGTCTGTTCAGTTCAAAGCATGTATATAATAGTTTGTCTTCCAGTTTTTTCCCACAAAAACAATGCTGTGAGGTTGTTTGAACTAAGAGGATGTGGGAAGACTGAAGGTGGACTTGAACCTAGGTCTTCCAAGCGCCAGTCCAATATCTGAACCATTATACCTCACTTGCTCTTGTGTAGCTTCTCAGTGTATGATTAGTAAATAGCCTGTTAAAAATACTTTTGCAATCTGCCTCTGAAGTCATTGTTTTGTGGAAGAAATTTATAAGATAAATTTGCTAAATTAGTGTTGTAGAGGATTTAGTTCTCTACTTTACTTCAAATATATTGGATAATGTTGCCCGGAAACCAAATTCTGTATTTGCTTCCATGTCTTATTCCTGCATCTGGTAGAAGTATATAATTAAAATTACTACTTTGTAAATTACTACTCTGTTGTTTTTGATATTTGATTCATCTGTTCTTTCAGTAACAAGTCTGAAACATTACCATTGGCTGCACAGTACAATGTTGCATGTATGGGACTGTCTCCAGATGGAAATCTTGCTATACTTGTTGATGAAGGTAATCTTTTTAAGATGTTATGAAAGAATTTGATCAGTAAATTACATTTACAAATATTATTACATTCTTATTAAGACTAATATGCTATTTTTTTAACCTGTTGTTGTTTACACGTTCTGTTGAATTGCAGATAAAATAAAAATGTGTGAATTAAATTCCCCTAGTTAGAATATGAACAGAAATAAAATGTAAAAGAACTGTTTTTATTATTTGCATCTTTTAAAAAGAAATTGAAATATTTCTTCTGTTCCTTACAGAGGGATCTGCCTTACTTGTCAGTTTGATCAGTAAATCTGTTATCCATCGATTCCATTTTCAGAAACCTGTCCATAGTGTCTGTTTTGCTCCAAATGGAAAGTATGAAGAACTATATTTGAGTATTTGATTTTACTATTTTACTTTGTATAGAAATAGTAGCAATTAACAATAAAGTAAAATAAGTTCATCATGAAAGTAGTACTAAGGAAAATAAGTTAGTTTAAAGAAAAATAGATATAACTGAAGATAAAACCATTTAATGGATCATCCTCAAGGTCAATCTGTAGCTATCTTTGCTATTTATAAGAGTTGTTCTTATAAATAATTATCACAAAGTAAGTGCTATCTACATCAGAAGCATACATAATTTTAATTATATAATTACTTGTTAACTAAATTGGCTATAATGTGTTGATCTTTATTTCTTTGCTGAATAATTCTATAATTTATTTTTATTCTTCATTTTTGTAAAATAGAAAATTTGTGATTACTAAAGACAAAGTTGCACTGATGTACCATGCCCCAGGGAAAAAAAGAGAATTTAATGCATTTGTTCTTGATACAACATATTATGGTGCTTATGATGAAACGACATGCATTGACTGGACTGATGATTCCAAGTAAGTTTTTGTGTAGTTTATTGAGAAAGCAAAAAAATGAACAAATATATTTAATTTCAATGGCACCTGTGTTATTTTAGTTTGCTGATACACTCATTAATAACAGAATTTTAAAATGTATTTGGACATGCTGCCCAATTTTTTGTATGTATATGTATATGTGTCTGTGGTCTGTTCTGTATATTGTATTCATGTACTTCTTTTTTTCAATTTTCACAAAGATGTTTACTATCACTAAATTTACTGCATGCAGTTTATTATAAAGTGATAAGAGTTATGCTGCTGAAGATCTTAAGGAATCCTCCAATTTTCAGAAGAGGCTTCAAACCTTTCTGTGAATCAGAAGGAAGAAGCTAATTCTTTATTTTCCCCTTTTCAGAATTGTCTGTCAGGAACTTTCCTCAGTTTCAGATGGTTCCCAGTTCTTCAGAGGAAATGGCAGGTGGGGGTGGAGGAAATTCCATGGGAAAAAGAAGCAACAATTGCCTTTTTCTCTGCCAGGAATGAAAATCTGCTTATAGATTTCTAGTTTCAATCCATGATTTGTAATCTAATAATATAAATATCCAGGTTTATAGGGCTGAAGGTGCATGCTTTGATTTCTTGCCTCTGAAGGTGGAAATGAATCATTGGATCCAACAATTTACAGGTAGTCTTTGTTTAGTGACCACAATCAGGACTGGCAACCCGGTCGTTAAGCAAAGTGGTTGTTAAGCAAAACCATGGCCCTGCTTATAATTTTACTTCAGCTTTCCTTTACTTTACAGACCTGAGAAGGTCATAAATGTGAGGATGCTCATAAAGTTATTTTTTCATCATCGTAACTGAACAGTTGCTAAATGAGGACTACCTTATCTTAATTCATCAGTATTTTTCCCAGGGCAACAGGCTATTAGGAGACAACTGTCTGGCACAAATAACTTGTCTTATCCACAGCTATGTAATTGTCACAGACATTAGAGAGTTATTTATTTTTCATATTTATATAGCTGCCCATCTTGCACAGCAGAGCAACTCTGGGCAACATACAACATGACATATTAACAGTTACATTACTACATTACAACAATTATTACAATTACTAAACTTGGCCAGCAGCAGTCGCAGGGGAGTCAGATCATCCGGGCTTTTTCTTCCTCCGCCGATCTTCCATTAGTTGCGTCGCATCTTTCCAACGATCGCGTCTAGGTGGATCAGCAACCGGTTCCTGTCCCCGCGCAAAGTGCCACCAGCTTTTCCTCTCGCCGAAATGGGAGTACCTATTTACTCGTGGATTGTATGCTTTCGAAATGCTAGGTGGGCAGGAGCTAGGGATGAATGACGGGAGCTCACCCCGTCATGCAGAGCTGGGCTCGAACCGCTGGAGTGTCAACCGTTTCTGGCCGGAAACTCCAGCGTCATTAAGCCATTACGCCACCGCGTCCCTACTGATAAAGTAACTTTTTTTTTCTTTTAGATGTTTTGCAGTGGGTAGTAAAGATATGTCAACATGGGTGTTTGGAGCAGAACGCTGGGTCAATCTGGTTTATTATGCACTAGGAGGTCATAAAGATGCAATTGTTGCCTGTTTTTTTGAAGAAAACAGTTTGGATGTATGTACCTTTCACATTTTTTTCATATGTTGGTAATGTAGTTGGTTAGTATTTATTTGATTTGGTCACTGTGAGGTGTATGTATGTATGTGTATATATATATATGTATATAGTTACAGTGGTAATACATTAGCAAGCAGGGCAGTACTTTAAATATGATGGTAGTTGATGCAGTATTCTAAGAAGCCACAGACAATTAGCACTGTAGATTTTGGACTTAAACAACTAATGATTGCACATATCTAGTTGTCTATTAGGGCTGTGCAGCATTTCAGATTCAAAAACAAAAAGATGCTTTGAAGTATGCAGGTAAGCACATCCTACATTTCTCTACAATTCCTTTATGCTTTTCCCCAGGATCCCATTGTCTTTTCAGAGAGCAGTCTGAAAAGAAGTTGCAGGCAGATGATATATAAGCATACCCCAAGTGCTCCAAACCACTTTTTGCCTTTGAATCTGAAGTGCTCAAAGCCCTGTTCTCTGTCACTAAGTGGAATGTATGTGTTCAATATAAATATAATAACAAAAAATACAATCAAGATATCGTACATCCAAATATTTCAAGAGGTTTTTCTCTCTCTGTCATACACACTCTAAGATAGAATTTAGATTAGAAGGTAGCATTTTGTAACAATAGGCTAGATCATTTCTAAGACTGTATGTTAGCAAATCTTTATATAGGATTTACTGTTACAAGTTGATAGGTCTTATGGGCCAAATAATGCAAGGTCCTTATTGAAGTTAGGGGCTTGGAATTTGTTTATTTGTTCATTTGTTTAAATTTCTGTCAATTGAAGTTAGGGGCTTGGAGTTTGTTTAAACAGTTCATTTGTTTAAATTTCTGTCAATTGATAATTATAATAATATTTTGTTATTGTAGTTATACACTGTCAGCCGTGATGGAGCTCTGTGTGTGTGGCAGTGTGATACAGAGCTAAATGGTCTGAAACCTAGAACTCCCAAAAGCCAATCCACTGACAAGGAAGAATCAGCAAAAGACCTAGATGAAGAGTTGACAGAAACACAAAAAGGCAACGAGGTTCATGGAAAAGCCAGTGGAAATGAAAAAGAAAACAAAAAGAAAGTGAAATACTCATGTGCTGCCAAGTAAGTGATTTTCTAGGAAGAGAAAGTTTTAAGAGGAATTTGTTGTACATTTCTATCTGGTTTATTTACAGTGGTTAAGCAAACTCCATTGGAATGCTTTTAACATATGAATGCAATCATAGTAGAGGTGACTAGAAACAGGTTGTTATAATTAACCTTCTGAGCTGAAGATCTTATGTATTAGTTTTTATATTACTGATGAGGCTGACTCAAGAATTCTGGTTTTGTTAAGAAATATTAAAATTAATAGAGGTGAATATGTGTAGCTTGGGGTTGAATTGTGGAGTCCTTGGGGTTCTCTGAGCTTGGTTCTTTTCTTGCAAACGTTTCATTACCTGGCTAGGTAACTGAAGATGTTACCTAGCCGGGTAATGAAATGTTTGCAAGAAAAGAACCAAGCTCAGAGAACCCCAAGGACTCCACAATATTAAAATTGTCATTGTTGATCTCAGTGTTAACTGACAAAGAGTAGAAGAACCTCGTGTTGTGCCTGTAATCAGATTGCTGTTCTGCATGGCACATAAGATGTGAGATAAAACTCATTGAATTTCAAGAAGCCTGAACTAGGAAGAATTGTTAACCCAGCACTACAATCAGTTTTTTTAAGCAGAAGGCTTAAAAATGTGGGCTAAATTTGTTTCTTTAGCCTACATGGTTTAAGACAAACAATTGATCTTGTATTCCTTAACATTTCCGCCCCTCCCCCCCAGGTGTTTTGGACTTCAACTGCAAATATTACCAGCCAGGATGGCGAAGGGTGGGAATTCTGTTAATTGAAGTCCAGAAAATCAGGAGGATAATAAGTTGTGGATGCTGTGGAGGATCTCTGTCCTCTGGTGGAAATATGGAAATGTGCATGCCATTATATTATGCATTCTCTCCAGTCATTTAAGCAATGATATACTGGGAGCAGTAGTGACAGCTTGCTATGCTGCAGGTGCTTGTGCAGCTAATAGTTGAATAAAATAGCCTAAAATCTTAACCAAACACACCACTCGCTAAAATGAAGGATGTGAGAAAAAAAGATGATATGCAATTCCATTTAAATTTAGTAGGATTCTTATAGCTGTACTACACAGACTTTGCTAAAATTTTAGACAGCTAATACTTAAAGCCTTTCTGCTCTTTATTTTAACCTTGACTCATGATTATTGTTCAGTCTTTAGTAACATGTGACAAATATTAACAATACATGTTAATATTGTTTTCTTGCTTTTCTCAATTTGCTAACATAAAAACAGCATTTTATCACCGACCATTACTGTTTCCTTTCCTATTTGTCAAACTACTCTTTATTAGAAAGGTAATTTGATGGTAATTATTCTTAAATCTGATTTAAAAATCTGATAATTTTTTATTCTTTGTGTATTCAGATACTTTTTTAACAAGGAAGGAGATTTTAACACCTTGACAGCTGCAGCTTATCACAAGAAAATCCATCTGTTGGTCACTGGATTTGCTTCTGGAATTTTTCACCTTCATGAGCTTCCAGAATTCAATCTCATCCATTCTTTAAGGTTAATGTTAATATTGTAGACTGAAGATATGTATTATTAATATTACTTAATATTACTAATATTACTTTAATATTAAAGAAATAATTATTCATCAGCTTTGTTTAAGTGATTTTTGTTTATTGGGAGAATACTTGAAGCAGTATCTTTAACTTAGGAAATAATGATAAATTTTGTTTTTGATCTATTTAACTTTTTCTTTGTTCTGTTCAGCATTTCAGACCAGAGAATTGCATCTATTTCTATCAACAGTACTGGTGACTGGATTGCTTTTGGATGTGCAGGTGCGTAACTAAGATATAGAATTAGGGAGGGCCTGCTTATGCAGTATTGTTAAAATAATCTTTTGATTGGTACATAAATATCTATATTCATACCCAGGATGCTGTGTGCTTTTAGAGTAAGCAGTATTATGCAAAGCACAGAAAGAGTAAGAAGTAGTAAGACAAAGAAATTAAGGCATGAGATAAAAAAGTATAGCTAAATCTAGTTTATACCAAGATTGTAACTCTCCATACCTTTCTATCTTTACAAACGGTCCTTGTATAAATGACGTCCATCCACTGTTTCAAATATTCCCTTTTATTTTTTAAACTTTTCACCTCTTTCTGTCTCCTCTTCATCAAATACATCTTGTTCAGTCTTTCTAACCCTCTCAACATATTCACCGTTCCTTCATATATCTGTGATTCACTCCTCATTTGTCCTCTCTATTTGACCAAGGTTAGGTTATTACTGGTACATACATAGATCCCCACTAGATGACCAATTTTCCTTTCTGTTGTATTGACAGGTCTGGGACAGCTCTTGGTATGGGAATGGCAAAGTGAGTCCTATGTGCTGAAACAGCAAGGCCATTTCAACAGCATGGTATCACTTGCATATTCACCAGATGGGCAGTATTTAGTTACTGGTGGGGATGATGGAAAAGTAAGTTGTTGATTAAAACATTGAGTTTTAAAACTAATTCTTAGTGTATTGTTTAAAGAAAGCAAGAAAGGATTTAACAAATATTAAATGAATACGTTATACATTAACATTCAACAATTAAAATACTTAAAACCATAATATTGTTTTGGATGTAGAAACAGGTTTTGATGAGTTGGAATGGGATTTTTTAAATATATGAAATATTTGATTAATATGAGAGGGCAGTTTAAGAGCAGGCAATCAATAATGTGTTGTGAAAAGACCATCTGCATTGAGAATGGCTGTTTTTTTCAACATTTATGTTACAAAGATATGCATCAAGGTTATCTTTCTCCATTATTCATTGTACTCTTTTGCTAACTCTGTTAGAAATAAGAATGTGGAAATGATTCTCTATTGCCTTCTTCAAGGATATTTTTCTGATTTTCCAGTCAAGCATGTATCTTGGTATCCCATTCAAGTACTAGTCAGATTAACCTTGACAAATCAAGGTTTAAGATTAACCTTAACAAATCAGGATTGTCAAGACCTATAAGATTAATCTTGACAAATCAAAACGATCTTATTAAGGAAATCAAAAAGTAGTTGTAGTTATTCTATTGAATATTAATAAGGGTGGATAAGTAACATATTAAAATATAGTAGTAAATGTGACGCTGTATGACAAAAATATATCTCTAGGTTAATTGTCAGAAATGTTAAGTGTGCAGATTTCTTTCATAATTCAACCCTGACAAATCAAAATAATCTTATTAAGGAACTCAAAAAGTAGTTGTAGTTATTCTACTGAATATTACTAAGGGTAAATAAGGATAAGTAAATATTACTAAAATATAGTAATAACTGTGACACTGTGTGACAAAAAATATATCTGTAGGTTAATTGTCAGAAATGTTAAGTGTGCAGTTTTCCTTATAATTCAACATGCATATTAAAATTTATAATTCAGCATGTCTGTGTTAAATTATTCTGGAATACTAAATCCTAAAATTATTTTTTGTGGTATTTAAAATAAATTGTGGAGTTGAAAAAGTACTAACAATAAAGCACCACTGGAAAACAACAGAAGCACTTCATTTGGTCCTTCTATTAATGGTTTAAGCAGAGTCTAAAAAATATTAGAATTAACATTGCTTATCATATATTTTGTGAGAAGTCAACAGAGTACAAAAAATGCTAAGTTTACTATTTTTATGAAATTCACTTTTGGAATGATAGGATCTAATTTTAAGTATCTTTTATGTTCAGTTGTGATCTTACTAGTTAATGTATCTTTTTAAAAAATAAAATTCTAGTTTAGTGGTTTTTTTCAATTCTAGTCAACATATTTAGGAGCTAGAAACTAATGTCCCTTATATGTTTGTTTAATCCTGATTGGCTGTAGAAGTGTGGTTGTATTTTTTTTTTAACCAAATATTTGGTTGGAGCAGGGTTGAATAATATTAGGTATATTTGCTGTCTTGAATTATATATATATAAAGGTGGGATAAAAATGTATGACAGGTGAAACTTATGGTCATACCAGCTTCTGAAGAGATGATTCTGTATTTTTTGTTCAAAATATGACTGGTTAACTATTAAAGGTGGCGAATTGGAATGTTCTTTCAATAGTAAGCTCTCAAAGTCAAATAGTTATTGAAAAGTAATAATTTATCTCAAGCTGGTTTAAAGCTTTTCTGTTCCATTGTAGGTGAAAGTATGGAATACCAGCAGTGGCTTCTGCTTTGTCACCTTTACTGAGCATACCAGCATCATATCTGCTGTAACATTTACCAACTCAGGATATGTTGTTTTGAGTGCTTCTCTTGATGGAACAGTGCGAGCATTTGATCTCCACAGGTAAGCTTATTATTTCACTTGTTTACTTTTAGTTTTATCCTGTCTTGAAATAGACATCAGAAAATGTAAGGTATTCTTTATTAAAGTCTGGAGATGCAATTTTTCATTAGATCAGTTGTACTGTGTTCTCTTGGGCAGTTGTGTCAATTGAAAATTGTGTTAGTGTTATCTAATCTGGAAGCCTCCCCTGTAAAAATCATGCTCCATGTTAGAAGTAGACATATAATACTAGGCTGTTGTAGAAGCATAATGAAAACCCTAATCAAACATTATTTGTGTAATTGTTTTCAGTTTTGTAGTATTTAGGGGGGGGGTTTACACCTTATTTTACTGGGCAGTGTTATTGTTACTGTTTATTATTTTTCTGTTGCTATCCAAACGCA